GAGCGGGGACGGGTTCCTCCTGCGGAAGGACAGCAAGCGCCGGGCCACCCTGCACCGCGTCCTCACCGCTGAGGCACCGGGCATCGTCGCTGCCTTGGAGGAGAGCCAGGTGGGCGCTGGGTGCCCGGGGTGGGGGGGTCTGCACAGCAGCTGGGCGGAGGGAGGGCACGGTGGCAGCCCCTGAGCATCTCCTTTGCCCACCCAGAGCATGATGGGTGCGAGGTTGGGCTCGGAGCACCTCGCCCAGCTGCTGAGCTGCCTGCAGAGCTACATCCAGTGCCCCAGCCAGCACCAGCTGCGCCAGGACCTCCTGGCACTGCACAGACAGCTGCAGGCGGAGGGACTGAGCCTCCCCCACCTCCAGGCTCCCCTCTTTGGCTTCCAGGCAGTGGTGAGTGCCCGGGGTGGAGTGGTAGGGTGCCGAGCAGGCGATGCCCTGGCACGGCGATGCCCTGGTGCAGGTGATGCCCTGGCACGGCGATGCCTTGGCACAGTTCTGTCCCTTCCAGGTGAGACGGGCGCTGCGCCGGCATCACATCAAACCCCACTGGATGTTTGCGCTGGACGACGCCGTGAGCCGGGCAGTGCAGGCGGCTTTCACCGTGCTGGTGAGAGGTGGGTGGCACTGGGGGACGGCCGGGATGTGGGTCTGGGTCCCACCACTGTGGCCAGGTGGGTGGAGGAAGAGGGTGGCTGGCCCGGGGTGGGCTGGGGGACTTTGGGGTGCTGGGAAACAGATATGAGGGGGGAGCCAGCACTGGGGCAGCCTTGGCTGGGCCCAGCTCCCCGTTTTGTCCCCTGTGCTCTGGGGTCTGAGGCCATTGCGCGCCTCCCTGTGCCCACCACCACCTCTGCCCCCACAGACCTGGGACTGAAGGCCAGCTGCCTGGGAGGGGACGGCACCAAGGACACGAGTGACGAGGACGACCCCGTGCCGCCGAGCCTGTCCATCCCCAGGAGCCGACCCCAGCAGGACAGCACCAATTCGGGGCTCAGCACCGGCCCCGGCACCCAGGTGGACCCCCTGCCCTCCCTGCGGGCACCCTCGGCGCTGGTGGCACAGCTCTGCCACCTCCGCACAGAGACGGGCAGGTAGGGCTTCACTGGTCCTTGTGCCTCCGTCTCCCTGGCCGCCAGTCCGTGCCGCCCCCCGGGTGCCAGTCCGTGCTCCCCTCTCCCCCAGGCTGCTCCAGGAGCTGGCTGAGAAGGAGCAGGAGTGGCAGCGGCTGATGCAGCGGGTGCTTCGCTCCCGGGATGATGACAC